AGCAGTAGTATCTTAGAGGGAGCTGGGGAATACTCTTTGCACAGAATCAAGACATTGAACCAGCAGCTTTCTGCAGAGATTTGTAGCAGGCTCGAACTCCTTCAGGCAAGGTAGCTGAGTTAGGGAATGGGAGTCCCTGCCTCTCAAAGAGGGGGGGCTGCTGCCAGGGGGTACGCAGTGACTACTGACTGTCAGACCTCACTGATTTTGAGCATGTCAAAGCCCAGAACCTGTGTTCCTTTCAGAGACGTGATATACTTAGTTCACTGTTTGGCATCATCTTGTTTCAGAGAGGGACAGGAGTGTGCTACCTTCTGTTGAAGTTCCCTCAGTTTGATAAGGGAGACCTTATTGCTCTCTCCAACTACCTGACAGGAAGTTGTAGTGAAGTGAGGGTTGGTCTCGTGTACCTGATAACAAATGAAAGGACAAGAGAAAATGGCCTCAAGTTGTGCCAAGGGGAGCTTCAATTGGATATTAGGGAAAATTTCTTCACTGAAAGAGTTGTCAAGCATCGGAGCAAGCTGGCCAGGGAAGTGTCGGAGTCGCCATCCCTGGAGGTATTTAGAAGACGTCTAGATGTGACATTTAGTGACATGGCTTAGTGGTGGACTTGGCAGTGCTAGGTTAATGGTTGGACTGAATGATTTTAAAGGTCATTTCCAACCTAAATGATTCTATGACTCTGTTGTGGTGGTTATCCATATAGCGGGTGGTGGTGGGTTGACCCTGACTGATAACTCAGGCAGTCTGCCTCACTTCCCCACAATGAGAAAAAAACTCATGAGCTGAGGTAAAGCCAGTTTAATAAATGAGGAAAACAAAAACAAACCACAAAACAAACAACAAAAAAGCAAAAACCAAGGGATGCAAAGTCAATCACTCATCCAGTATAGCAATTCAGTGGCTGCTGGAACTGATATGATTTTGCGGTACCTTACCTCCTCGTTGTTGGCAAAGAGAATTCCCTTCTCCAGAAGTCCCCCACTGTCGCTGTATTTCCTTCCACAGGGGCTGTGCTCAGACTTGTACAGGCCATGTGAATTTTACTGTAGAGGTTGATCCTTTTAAGCAATTGTAGCTCCCTCAGTTGTTTGTTGAACAAGGAGACACTGTGGTTGTAAGATCACAACTATCAGCCCTGTTTTATGATTTTTATGAGCATTAGTGGAACAAGGTTTGTGGACTGAAGGAGAAAATGGAATATGAAAAGGAAAATGAAAAGAGGTTGTGAGGAAAGCATGTCATTTCTAAATGAATGCTCTGTGCAGAGGAATTTAATCTTTTCACAACTGAAAATGAATCTTAAATCTGATGCCTTAGCTTGTTTCAGCTTCTGTAATGAAATAGAGTTTTCCTAATACCCTGTGACCTGAATTTCTCCCTGCTTTATGGGTGCTATTCCTTGACGTACAAACCTGTATTTTCTCAAGTCAGCATTCGATGATGGATGTCAAAATACAGGTCATGTATTATGCATATAGCATTACCGATTTAAGGTGTTTACTTGTCAAGTTGAAGAAATTCAAAAATGTCACATTCACTGAATCTGCACAGCTGTCACTTGTAGTTTTTCATGCCTTTAAATGAAAGTTCTGATAAAGCAGGTTAGTTTTCCTGCACTTTTTTTTTTTTCTCTTTTCTGGAGGAAAAAAAATAGCCTATGTATAGAATTTACTTTGTGACTTGGGAGCAGGAATGTGACCTGAAGGTGTACGACACCATGTGACTCAAAACACAGGCATGCAAAATCCAAAAATACTTCAGTTTTCCTTTTCCTTAAAATATTCCAAAATTTTTTAAAAGTAAATTTCTAGAAGTGTCTGAATTAAGTACGAGCAAGGAAATTAAATTGTCAGATATTTCTCACATCTTTCAAGACCATAGGGTGAAAAATATCAAGGCATGAGTCTAGTTTTACATTCAAGGTGAAAACAAATTCCCCTTAACATGCTTCCTGCATTTCAGACTGAATGCACTATGTGCGCAGTGTGCAATTACAGAGCTTCTGACAGTCGCTGTCTAACACAAATGCTGCATTTACTTCAATCTTCTGACACCATCCTAGGAAGACAAATATTTGAAGGGTTAGAGAGGTGGCTACAAATAGCCTTCGATGGAGAGTGTGCGTGTCTCTGCCTCTATGTGTGTGCACATTGCAGTGGAGGGAAGGCAAGAAGAACTTGCATGTTTAGATGCAGTTATGCTAACTTACTTCAATTTGCTTTTAGCTGGTAGGGAAATGCTGATGTGCTCCTGACATCTGAAGAGCCTGATTCTCTAAAAAACGTTTTAGGGAGCGCATCCTGAGATGGGCAGAGGAAAGCCTTCAGGAAAAACGGAGAAGCAGAGCCTCTAGGGATGCTCCGAGCAGTACAATCCCTAGGGTGCATGAGAACAGTATTAGTTTTCTTTGCTCTTAGATAACTGAGTGTAAAAAATCTTGCTGTTGCCATTTTAACCTGTAGTTCTGCAGAGAACCGAACTGGGCCTGACACCATAACTGCCCAAGGAGTCTGGATGAGCTTTTTCTATTATACTGTGACAAAGGCCATATCTTGCATCTCCTAACAGAATGCATTCCATAACAGAGTGCAAGATTTAAAACACTAGATCCTGCTGCAGAAGGAGGTGTCACATTAATACCCACCTGTCCTCAGATGGCATTTGAAGTCCCACTTTCATTTTCTTGCTGTTGAGAGAGTGTCAGCATCACCTGTAACTTATGAGGTGGTGCCTGAATTACCTCCGTTAGACTCACTTTGTGAGCCTGAGGAATCTCAAGCTCTGCCATGCAGAAGTAAATGTTCAAAGAGCCAAGACAGCTATCAGTCATAGTGCCAGATACAAGGAAACATCTGCAAACCAATACCAGTTGGAAATGCAACTCACTGTCATCATGTTGGTCTTACTGAATTAGTTTCTGCACAAGGAGCAATGTTAAGTCAGACTGTTAACACTTCTGATTCTCTCGGAGAAATCTGCTTTCTAAAGGTTTTCCATGCACTGGTAATATTAAATAGAATTGTTTTACTGACTTAGGTTTGTCTATGGCAATGTTTTAGTCTTGCAAGCCTGTTGAAGATACCACATCCACTTCTTCTCTCCTAAGGAATTTCTTCACAGACTTTTCACTCTCGTCTTAGTTGTCCTGTCTGTACAATCATCATGTTGCATCTAGTTTTCTTGTGATAGAATGAAATTCATACCAGAACCTTCCAGAGGGCTAAGAAAGTCTCTCCTCAGTGATTATTGCCTGTATATTCTATATATAATACAGACAAAACATAGGGACAGATGAATGGAAAGAGAAATTTAAATCCCATTGAATCAAGAAGTCCAGATCTAGTGGTCCTTGTAGTTTAGAAGCGGTTTAAGAGTGATGGTAATTATCACTGGAAAAGAACCATAAATCCTTCAGAAGATATAAACCATTACAATGTGCTAACAATTACAATTTAGTTTAGAAATTTCCTGGTTTGTAAATTGGTCCCCAAACTAAAGCAAGGTAAACTACATAATATCATATTCTTCTGAATTCAGTAACAGATGAACGAACGTATCAATGAATTTAATGGTGTGAAACAGTTTCCACACTGCAAGAAGATAATGAAGTTATGTCAGGAATTAATTTGGCTTTGATTAATTTAGAATCAGTATATGGAGAATTCAGAACTATTGACAGAGGACCAAAAGTCTGTCCCTGGATGTCAGGTGTGAAGTCAAAGAACTTAGGAATAACATGGCAAAAAAATTTAATGTCTTCTCAGAAATGTGTGTTTTAAAGTGAGCTTGGGTCAATCCTATTTCTGGCATATAAATATTTGCCTAAAAATGCTGCCTTAACAGTTTTCTACATTAAACCCTAAAATCAACCTCTAGCTTCACCATCACTTCTGCAATAATGACATTAAATGAACCTTCCCATGCTTTCTGCAGCTTTAATGGACAAGGGAGGTAGAATGCTTTAGTCTCAACAGTAAATTTCCATCCTTCTATTGCATGGGCTTTTGTATAACTACCTGTTTTTTTAGTATTTACAATCAAACTCCAAAAGGCTTTTCCTGGGTATTTTTTATTTAAAGAAAAAGAAAAAAAAAGAAGAAAGAAAAAAGGACAAAAAAAAGCTCAGTGCCAAGGGCTCCATTTCAAAGTGTGTAGAGAATCAGGCTGAAAACATAATGTCTTTTGGAGGTGAACCTTGCTGGTCTCCAGATCTCTTTTTTCTGTGAGTGCCTGCCAGTGTGTTTCCTCTCCCACCTTTGTTTCCTTTACATCTTCACTCTTTCTAGTTTCTTTTGAAGGATTCCTCTTAGATACTGTTTGAAAACCTGTGTCTTTTTCCTTCCATCCTACCTTTTTGTCTGTTAGAATGAACCCTTCCATCGCAGTATTCCTACAATGGTAATCCTCATAGAAATGCATATTATAAATGGTACGCATGAAAATTAAAAAAACAAGCAAACAAACAAAACACCATGTGTGGGTTGTATTGCTCCTGGAAAACAGGTAAACCCTGCTTGTTGATCAAACCTAAAACCAGCTAATGGAAGCAATTTGTTCCTCATGGTTTTACTACCATTTACAAACAGTACTCTTTAAAATGTTAATTATTGTTTAAGGAAAGGTGTTTATTTCAGGATTATTGAAATACTGATAAGACAAAATTAAACCTCTCAAACACTGTGGTCTTTTTTATTTTTATTTAAGTAAGCATTACTCTTTCCGTTTTACACCTTTTGATGCAAAGGCTTAGGATAACAAAATGAATTTCAGTTTCTTCATTAGCTATCAAATATCTTACAGTAGAAATAAACCGCCTATTTGTGAAGGATTATGCTTTTATGAAATCATTGTTGAAAATTAAGTCAATTTTTTTTAAAATTACAATTTTTTACCATACTTTCCTGGAAAATAATAAAATCAGAGATAGGGAATTCCCCATAGTTTGTCCTCTGTAAACTTTCTCTTTTTTTTCCCCTTTTTTTTTCTTCTTTTAGGCTTTACACCCCCTGGAATGGATAGGTCATCTCCAGACAACAGTCCAGTCCATGGCCTGTTACGTCAACCCTCCATTACAACAGGAGCCAACATCCCTATTATTACAGAGCTAGGTAAGGAAAGCTAACATTTACCCTTTCATGTACATTCCGGTATCTTTTTCCCACTTCCCTTGTTATGCAGTCACAGAAAAATTACCCATACTGTATCTTACACTGTTATGTTTTCTCTTTTGATAACTGTTTTGAATTACTCTCTCTAAAGAAAGTTTAGTAACAGTTGGTTCACTTTATTTGAATAACTGAAATATGTTTCTCTCCTCCCTTTGGGTTTTCTCCATTTTCTTAAATAAATATTCTGTCAGGCAGGATGCTTTTTGCATAGTGTAACAAATAAGCAGAGGTCTTTGGGCTAAGGTTAGAAAAGGAAGAAAGCCACAGTAAGTATGAGCAGATATTTCCTGTGCATTTAATCAATTGTAAGAGGCCATTTGTTTATTTCTTCATGGTCCAAAACTGTTTAATCATGTGTAACCAAACTCTGTATAATAGTATGAGATATTTTACTCCTGAGAATACGATGATGGTAGGTAACTAGACTCTGATTTCCACTCTAGCTGTGGGTATTTATGTTGTCAAGTGGTGTGATGTGAAGTGCAGAAGCTGTTCTGTTTTTTTCATGGCAAATACAAACTTGATCTGTGGTCCTTTGTCCTCTATTTTCTTTTTCAGTTTTATTTTTTAGAGCCTTATCTGTCTTTTTCCCTTACTTTATTCTCTTTCTGTACTTTCTTTTCCCCCTAAATACTTTACTTACTAGCTAAGCCTGGCAAACTTCTGCCTTTGGTTTCAATCAGTCAGGAAAAAAACAGTGGAACCCACATTCTTATGATAACTGAACTGGGTAAGAAGTGCCTTTTTCCTTCACATCACTGTCTTATTTTCTGTTGTTGTTGTTCTTACTGTCATCAGCTTTCCCTTTATTTATCTGGCTGTATCAGAGGGGCTACCCTCATGGCACTGCTTTGAATGTGTTTTATTTGTGGTTCTAGTTGAAATTGACTGTCTTGTTCTGGTCTTTCTTAATGATTTTTTTTTTTTCACGCAGCATCAGTAAACCTTTGATCACACTCGTCTGACCTGCCGGCTGTTTTCATAGCACCTCCTCACCAATTCATTTTCTTTGGCCCGAGTCCCCACCTCCCAGCGCCCTCCCCCTCATCTCCCCCCAATTTTTCTCTCCTTTTCTCTCTCTCTTTCTTTCTTGTTAGTTCAGCCTGTTGTCAATTTGGTGGACATACCTTAACAGTTTTCACAGGAAGTCCAAGAAGAACTAAAAGATACCAGGAAAAAAACCCCAGCATCATACTTTCCCTTAAGCTATTTGTTTGTTTATTTTAGGGAATAGGCTTTCTCCCAGAAGCTCAGGTTTTGAAGCTGTAGAGAAGCAGTCAAGTTTCTGCATTGTTCCCTCCTGACACAGAGCTCTCACCATCCTTTGCGAGCAGTGTTTGATGAGCTTTCCCTATGGTGCAGCACAACACCTCACCTGGCCCAGAGACCATTCACAGAAATACTAGCATGCTAACTTGCATTAGGAAGATAAAGATATTGAAGATAACACACCTGCAGAATTCACATTAGATTTGTAGCATCTTGGGAACTGACACCATGCGTGTCTAGCAAGCTGGTGTCTAAGGCAGGTATTAGTCTGCCAGATGTAAGTGGAAAAAGAATGGTACTGTCAGTAGTGCCTACTCTCAACTAGCAAATTAAACTAAGGTACAAGCTTTTCAAAAAGTACGTTTTGAAATGATACAGCAGGCTTTCAAGTACTATATTGCTCAAGAATCTGGAGAATAAATTGATAGGTATTGTACTAAAGAAAGAAGTATTGTGGATACCGGTGTATTCTTGGATGAAATTCTTCTGACTCCCAGGGCAGAACATTTCTCTGATTACAATGGTGAGGTATTATGTATTTGCAGTTACATCAGGGAGTGGGAAGGCAGGAATTTTAAATCCTAGTCTCATGTCCTTTAAACAGCTATCATGATGCTTTATCTGTAGTAATTTATGTTTTGTAAGCTAAGAATGGGAAGGACAGTAGAATATAGTCTGGAAAAGGAGTGGATGGAAAAGAAAACTATATGGGAGGTAACTAAACTGTATGAGAAAGAAGATCAGAATAGCAGGCAGAAGAATTTCTAGCTTAAGAAGGTCAGAGCTGAAATCTGATAAAGTTAACAGCAGCTCTCATTCTGTCTTCAAAGTTCGCTTGGTTGGCTCAGGAGACATGTTCACACGGGGAATAGGGACATAGTGAGTATATGCAGTTTCAAATGCTCAAAAAGTTTTTAATTTCCCTTTCTTGCATGGGAACTGAAATTAATTTGTTGTTTAGTAAGTTGAAGGGTATTCCGATGGCGTAGCTAAGCAGTCTGTGCTTTCATGCCTGAGGGAGATTAATATGGAAATGAAATATTTCATGAAATATGGTCCACTTGATACACTGATCTCAAGGAAACAACTATTTTTATTTGGAATGAGATGGAGGCAGAGGGCTTAACTGTGTCAATGAAATGCCAGAGAAAGTCTAAATGACAAATACTACTTTATTCAGGCTTTTTCTTTAAAACAGCCTCATGTAGATTCTTTTTCACACTGGCTAATATAGAATTTGTGGCTGAGAAAGTGAAGTTACGGAGACAAATATTTGAACAAAATACAGTGCTGCAAGAGAGTAGCTGCTCATTCATTCAGATAGATGCATGTTAAAGGGACAGTCTATCCTCTTTTGAGCCATAAGTGCATTAACATCATTCCAGTAAGAATCACAGCAGCACATCTAACAGATGCCTGTGGGCTATATCAGAGTTTTATTGACAGCCTTTATTTTACAACAGGGTTCTAACTTTGTATCTTGTGATAACATTTCACTATCCATACATACAGCCTTAGCCACTGTACCCGACCAATACCAAGATTGTCTCAATGAATAAGTGCATCATGTATCTCATTTTAAGTGCAGGCAGCTGGTGCCACAAAGCTACTTTTACAGCAAAGGGATAGTCACCTCTCAAGAACAAGAGTGTCACCTCTTACAAGCAACAGATTTTTAAATGCACATTTTCACATCCATCTTGATTTCATTTTCAGTGACGTCAAAGACACAAGTCTGTGTTTCCAGACATATACCGTTTCTTTTTCTTTGACTGTGTAATGTGTGAGGTTGCATGCTGGTGACCCAGAGGCACCTTATGATTTTACTGTTCTTCTTATTATTATTTTCAGTAAATGATTCAAATGTTCAGTTCTTGGACCAAGATGATGATGATGATCCAGACACAGAACTGTATCTCACGCAGCCCTTTGCGTGTGGAACCGCGTTTGCTGTCAGTGTACTGGACTCTCTCATGAGCGCAGTAAGCAAACAAAATCTTTTTCATTCCCTTCCATCAGACTTATTATGAAAGAGTATGAAAGCATAGACCCTTTTCCTCAGGTAGGCATGAGAAGACACTTTTTTCTTACATGTCAAGAATTTCAGAACCTAAACTAGGTTATTTTTCCTGTTGGACATGGAGACCTTAACTGATATATCTAGGACTTCCATGAGTCCACAGTTTTATGAGGAAAGAGTCTTATGTCAGGTTTTAAGGATAATATTTTCGAAAAAAAAGTTATCTCTTCCTCCTGAAATCCAGACACAAATTCAGTGTGTCAGTCCCTATGCTCACCATTCGTATCATACAACATCAACTGTGTTTTGAGCTTTTAATTTCCCAAAGCTATGAACAATGCTCTGAATATGAGCACTGGGGGACACTGATAGAACTATATGAAAGCCATTGTACACATCTCATGAACTCTACTTGTGTGAAGAAAGGTTATCCTCTCTTTTTCATATGAGTTTTCTTGTGAATCAAAACTTTAGCACATGCCAGAAACTACAGATGGTGGCCTTTGGTTATGTCTACATTAGGACTTTTGGTTTGCAGCCATAGTACAGTTCTGAAGCCTCGGTCCTACTCCTTTTCATTCTCCTCATATTGTCTAGGTTTTCAGACCAGTCTTGCTCTGTGTGAGCTACACTTCTTTCAGAGTGACCTTTAGCTCTGCTAGATATAGCAAGGAGATAGTCTTTTTAAAATCTAAGCTTAGGTTTTCTGAACTCCCCGTGGAATAAAGTTCCATAGTGCTGAGAATCATCTGTTGTAAGTAACACTATGTATGAGCAGATAGATTTCTTTAAAGGAGCCAAGTCCAACCTTCACCTAAATTCAGAATGAACCTTTTTGCTTTTAAGAAAAATTCACAGTGATCTTTATTTAGTATTTTATTTGTATTTCATATTTATGTGTCTGTATTTTGTATTTTTCGCTGTTATATTTCTCATGTTTCATCCACAGATGAATAATATCAGTCTACACTGATAAAAGTTTATTCTAATGCAGTCTAGGAGTTTTCAATAACCTCAGAAAACGCTTTTATTGAAAGCTATTTACAACGTTTTGCAGATGTGACAAATTCAGAAAGCCTAAGCAAACACACTTAAACTCTGTACCTTCTCTAATTAAAATCTCTACCTATAAAATATTTAGCATTTTCAAATTATATATCGAAATGATTTAACAAATTGTTATACTGAGAGCTGTATATCTACTCCCATTTTTATCTAAATCAATGTCCCTGAATATATTGTTCAGTAGAACACTTCCAGAATCTCAAAAAAGTAGGGCTAATCATTCTGGTTGCCTCTGGCATCACCACAGAAAGAGAGTGAAATGTTGTGGACATCGCTGCTTTCTTGTGCAAAAGTATGTCATGTAAATAATAGTGAGGCAATGAAAAATATGTAGAGACCATGCCTGTTCAGAAATTTTTATTTGGAATTCACCATATAATCCTCATAATATTTTTAGTTGTTGCTAGCTTTTATTAACTTTCGTTTTTTGACAACATGCCATCCATTTCTGCAATTCCTTTCTTTAACAGTCTTTTTTCCAAACATTTTCACATCTAAGTGGTCATATTGTATGTCAGGGACAGTGCAGCCTGAAGCCAGAGAAATGTGATAACAAGAGTAGAAAATTCTATACTTAGAAAAAATACTAATCAAGAAGACAAGCCAAGGATTCAGTCACTTAGAATTGTTCACCATCCTGTCTTTTCTTTCACCACTTTGCTGATTGGTGGCAGCGTTATTTTCTCTTTTATTCCTCAAAGGCCCAGTAAAGAGTTGGAAAAGTACAATTCTTCCTGACCCTTCAGAAAGGGTAAAATGTGTGAGATGTTTTCCCTTTACTATCCCTATTCTCATGGGAAAGATGTATTCTCCTTTCACTTCTTCTCCAAGGAAAAGAGTGTTTCTCACACAAACTAATCTACTTGCACTATATTATCTGTTTATTTTTTTTTTTCTCCAGAGTACACTCTTTTTAGGAACCAGCTTCTATTTGTTCTGTCTAGCTTCAAGCCAGTGTGGGCAAACTGAACCCAAAATCCCAAAATTGTGAAATCTGCAGTCATGCTTTCATCCTATTAATTGCATAAGAATTCTGTAAGAAGTATATAACTTACACTGTGCTGGCCTTTGCCAGCTCACTTGGAAACAAGTATATAGTTCATTATTCGATCCACTTAATGATTCAGGGAGGTTTACTGCCTAATTTTTATAGGAAAATTCCAATTTATGATATCTGTTGATATCTCTGTAATGCAAATTCCTTATATAGTCCACAATGCAAATGTACAATGCATGAACTTCTCCTTTAAGAATGAATCTCTTCTCACAGTAGTGAGGTTTTGTAGTAAAACAGGTGTAAGAAAGAGTAGAAAGTAAAATAATACCCATGCATACAGTATTATTTCTGACCTGTGGATAATCTGAAACGTACGTATAGATGTATGTATATAGAAAAAAAGTACAAAATATATTTTAAATAATTCAGTCATTGGATAATAATAATTCTACAGTATTAATCAGTGTTAAACTATTAGTTTACTTTCTTATAGTATCATTAATAGAGAAATAGTGCACTAAAATGTACTCACGAATCACAGATTAGAAAATCTGGTCACTTTCTGACTCAACTCTGAATGCTGAAACTCTTTACATTCTGCTAGTTTAGAATTATTTCCTATTAGATGACAGTGTTAGATATTTTAAATTTGAAATTGTCTGTTATTTTCTTATTTTGAAGATAAAAGGCCTAATGAAGTTTAGTTTTCAAAATGCTATCTACTGACCACCTACACACAGTTTGTCCTTTGCAGCAAAGGCAATATATTCCACAAGCCCAAGATTCACAGTGTAGTAGCTGAAACATCATTGCTAAGACAGTAACCAGGTCAAAACCTGCATTGTCTTTTTGATGAATTGGTAGCAGTGGTCTCTCCAGGCTTCAGTTTGAGGGCATTATTGTTCTCTGTGTGAAGACTCTAGGCATAATTCATGTTTTAACTATGTCTGTGGCTATTGTTAAATCATTCCAGCTAATCATTATTATGTCTTTGAAGAGACATCTACTGCCATCAGATGCTTGAATCATATATTAATATTTGTCGTAACATATGCAAACCCAGGGAAAGAATACATGTAGTCTGTCAGTCTCAAGGTGGCACCTCTCCTGAAAAGCAGAGCATGTTCTCATCACCAAGTGGAATGTGACTAAAAAGTGCGGGATTGGAAGCATCTTTTAGGTTATGTGAATGGTTTTTAAAAATATTATCTTCAGCTATAGAAAAGTTACATGACATAGGATAGTCTAAGACAAGCAAATTTTTGAGCAGAAGTACTTTTTCCCTTTCTGATTGTTTTTGAGACAGTTATTCCAGAAAATCCTGTGCATTCAAGGAAACCAGCTTTATCGGACTACAGTACCTTAAAGGTTTGAGCAGTTGGCCTGAGAGCCAAAGCTTCCTCTTACTCCTTTTGACACTGAAGCTGTGAGAACCACAGAAGTTCTGATGGGTTGTTATCCCTCCCACACATACCAATGGCAACAGACCTGACGTACTGTTGGAGTGATGCCATTAGAGGCAAGGATCTCCAGAACCAGATTATACCCTTTAATGTTCTATATCCTGGAATTCATTTCCTAACGCTAGAACTTTAGGTCTTGATTTTTTTCTGCATTACCAAATCCTACTTTTTCTTCATATAAACAAAATCACAGAATGGAAGAAAATAGTTAAAACAGTTAAAAATAACTTTTCATTATATCCCCTTTTTGAGAGTTATCTCTGAGGGATCCTCACAGTCTTATTTATACAGAAAAGAAACTGTTCTAATCTGCGATATGGACATTTTGAAACATAAAACTATTAGTCTGTTCAGGGGTTAGCAAGCAGCATCTTGTAGCTTAAAGTGTCCCAAACATCTTTAAAGTTTGGACAATACTTTGGGAATTAATAGATTTTCAAACTGTTAAATGCTGTTATTTATTTTCTGCTGTTGGTTCTGTCTTAAAAGCAAGTTTGTTACTGATAGGAGTTACTGATGTTAGCTCAGTCATTCCTCAGGTTTGGGTATATATTATTCCTCCAACTGAAAAAAAAAAAGGCAATTTAAGATATTTGTTTGAAAGTGAAGTTAAAAGCTGCATGCAGTGACGAAGGAGTCTTCTTAAAGGAAATCCATACAAAAACAGCAGCAAACACTAAAAAAGGCAGATATTACTTGGAAAATGACAATTTTAGTGTAATTATAAACGAAAGGAAAAGTGCTATTAAAGTTAAAGCAATATTATTAAAAGATGTGCTAATTTTCAGTTACATTTTCTGTAGAAGACCAATTAGTTTAAAAGGCTTGACAGCATTAACTGCAAAACATAAGCACTCTGGTAATTATACTTTAAAAAATGATTGAACAAATGGGAAAGCATCCCCAAAATATCTGAAAGAGCAGCACTACAATTCCGGAGCATGGGCTAGGTGGCACTGCTAGCTCAGTTATCTGTGTCATAATTTCCTTGCTATTTACCCAGTTTCAGTGTCTATGATGCATTTCCTTTTTTCTGTGTTTAGACTACACCTATTTCACAGTCTCATTCCGGATGCCGACTAAAGCAATGTCATACAGATGTCCGGTGTGGGGTTTGGTCAACGACAGTAGCAAACAAGTATTTCATCAGTTATGATTTTATATTAAACAAAAGGAATTCTTTGCCATCACTGGAAAGTGCCCTGTTACTTTAAATACAACAGCACCTTTCCAAAGACATTCTGTAGATCAGTTTCTTATAAGTACTGGCATATCCAGGCCATGTACCCTCCCACAGAGCAAGTAGCAGATCACTCTCAAATTAATTTCAGTGTATTATTATTCCAAAGGAAATGGATATCAGCTATTCAGTGTCCACCCAGTTCCAAACTGGCAAGAGGTAATAAGAGGAGTCTGATTTTTGTGACAATCAAAAGCACAGACAGACAGGTTTTTCCTGAGGAGTGTTAAAGACATTAGTACAGGAGGAAGAGACCCTATTTAGCAGACAGTGACAAGTTACGGCTTCCTATTCACCCATCTTTTCTTGCTTATGGTTGGCCATTTTCTGATCAGATGCAATGCTGGAGCAGTTTGTCCTGAAATTTGGAACCTTTTCTCTCATTGATGACATAAAAAACCCCAAAACCCATCACTTGACTGCACTCATACAGCTGATTAAATGGTGACATCCAAATCCATCATGGTGTGAAACCCAAATTAAGCCATTGTTCTAAGATAAATGTTGCCTCCTTTGCTAGTACATGTCTTTGCTTTGCCTTAACATATGTCTACCAGTGGGAAGCCTTTCTTTGGTGACAGTATTATGTTCCATCAACAGTAGATCTGGTTCTTTTTTCATTTGCATCTTGGATTCTGGCTATTGCTATAATTTGAATTACAGAATAGAAAGAGAAAGGGTTGGAAATCAGTGAAGGCTTGCCTATTTTACTCCTAAAGGGTAATGAAATTATTAGTGCTATTTTAGACTTTTGCATGTTTTACCAGTCAGTGCAAGTCAGCAGTCTATAAAAAACAGGCTATTTTAAAAGTACCAATATCCATCAGTCTTGAAGTAGGTGATCATTTCTTACCATAATTGGCCTCATTGTAAAACATATTTGAAAAAACACCAGTAAAGATATGCTTTTACTTTTGTTTCATGTTTCTATGTTGATTTATAGATGTAAAACTGAGAACAGCATTTTTGAATAATACTAAATGTCACTACTTAGAGAAGAAAAGGAATCAAAAGCCCATAATAAAAGAGTGGAGAAGGCATGAGAAAAGACCCTTTTGCAGAAAATGTTATGCTTTTGTCAAGATGTGTGCTTAAGATGCCATATATTATATTCTTATATGTATTATATAAGAATATGTATAATATATATTATAAGAATATATTGAAGCACATTTTTCTGAGGGCTTCTACAATTGCAGTACCTCCAACCTCTAGATCTGGCAGAATTTGGCTTTATATCCATGAAACTGGTGTCAAGCAACATTGCTGCCTAACTGCAGGAGCAAAGGATTTGTGCTCATTATTTTAGCTCTGAGTGCTATATAGCACATGCTGACAAAGCAAAGAGAAGAGACTAACTTTATTGCCTTTTTTTTTTCCTTTGGATTCTGAGTACTTCCATGTTGGAAAAGTATAGCACAGTGGGAAGAGTTGCCAAAAAGAGCAACTCTGATTCTCACCTCAGGGACATCAAGGAAGAAGTAATTGAAGAATAAAAAAATCATGCCTGGTTGTCTTCTCTCTCTCACCATATTAAACATCATGTAATTGCTCCAGACTTATGTTCCTGAAAGGGGTCACATTGATTTTTCTGTATGTTAAGAAAGGTTTGAGTATTGCACTTGAATTTGTACAGTGCATCCACATATGTAAGAGCTGATTTGAGATTAGCTGTTGTATTAGACTAGCTGAATCTTCCTGAATCCCTGCTTATGTCAGACTACTCTTTACTGTACACTTTTTATTTAAAATATGTAGTGCCTTACCCAGGCTAATTTAAAATAATTGGAACTGATGAGATGCAAATATTTGCTTTAGGGCATATATAACAATAACAATATGTTCCTCTCATTTTAATTGAGTCAACAGGTGAATGGCATAATAGCCTATGTAAATAAGCAGAGAAGCTTCAAATTATGAAACTTCAATGTAACAGTGAAAAACATTGCCACGTAGGACTCATCTTCTTCTGTTTTATCTGTCATCTCAAGCAAACAATGAAACTGAAGTTTCATTATACAAAGAAAGAATATCAAAGTAACATGGACAGGAAGCCAGTTCTGCTTTTTGATCTCAGGATAAAATATTTCAACCTGTACCTCAGTTTACCCATGTATTAAATACAATTACATTATATAGATAGAGCAATGAATTTCATTGAAAAGTATTATTTAAAAATTATTCTCTTTAGACAACAAGCACTGTTTGAGAATTCATTTCATTCATTTTTACTTGGTTGGATTACAGACATTTGTTCCAAGTTCTAAATTCAACAAAAGTCACAGATCCAGTAATGTCAATCCTGTGTACTCTACAGTGAGCTCATTTTCTTGTTGCATGTCCCCTGCACTCGCAAAGCTTCTGAAAACACAGACATTAGTGACATTATAAGTGAGTGTCTTCTTTTTTTGTTCCTTTTTTTCTGCCCAGTGCAATGCATTGCGGATATTTAACTGAGTATATCTGAACTATACCAGTATACTTTTAAGTGAACTTGAAAGTCATTCGTCTGGATTTAAATTAATATTTTACATACCCATTGTTTGCCTGACAGACCAGCAATGCTACAGATGCTGGCAAAATGTCAGTGTGGAGTAAATCTTCCCTAATAAACCACACTTACCCTATACCCTAGAGTTTTTTAAAAGGACCACCAGGATCCCAAACTCATCATACATTTATCTGGAATGAACTCAAGATGTTTAATTGATACATGCTTATGTCTGAACACTGTCAAGTCTCGTAATAAGATGTTTAGTACAATACATCGGTTAGACTGCTAGAGTCCAGCCACAGTAATAAGTAATGACATTTGCAGCACAAAGGCAGCTCCCCAACGAATTGGTGACAAGAGTAAAAAGGCAATCTAGCCTGTGTAAGCTTTAAATGTGGTCTGAATTTTACAATTACATGTCCTAAAGCCCATTATTAGACATGAAGGCGATGAGAAGGAAAGCAGTCATTGCATCACTACTAACACCAATTATAGGAAACATAAATCATTCAAATTTTTGTACTTTAATAAAAATCAGCCTGAATTGGTGTTTAGAAGCAAGGATCTAGTATAGGAGCCTAATGGGATAGAAGAAAATAGAGTAATTGGAGGCTGCTGTCTTTTCACTTTCTATATAAAATTATTTGAAGAGACAGCCAAGAACTTTAAACAGCAGAAACCCGGAAAAGTTGTAATTTGGATGTCTTCAGTTGTGACTTTAATGGTGTTTGCTTAAAGAGCTTTCTTTTATCTCTGCAGACATACTTCAATGACAATATCCTCACACTGATACGGACATTGGTAACAGGAGGAGCCACACCAGAGCTGGAAGCACTGATTGCTGAGGAAAATGCATTGAGAGGAGGTTACAGCACGCCCCAGACACTTGCAAACAGGGACAGGTGTCGAGTTGCTCAGTTGGCTTTGTATGATGGGCCGTTTGCAGACCTAGGGGTAAGATCATGAGGGAAATGTAGGACCAAGGCTGGTCTGCACTCTATTTGCTTTCTCTCAGACCAAGTGAAAAATCTATCTTAATAAGCCTATAATTTCTGTAATTTAGTAGAGCTTTTGGATTGTTTAACAATTTACAGCACAGGGTGCTAGCTTTGCTCTTAAGCTTTTTAAGCAGCTATATGACTGCCCAGTGTCCTTGCCTGCATATTTCATACAGAAAATCCTGTAGCTCTTCTTTGTCAGCTAAAGAGATGTATGAACTGATTTGGATGATATAACTATTCTAACAATAATGCATTGTAAATGTAAGTAATATATATACTTTTGTTGGGCTTTGATAAGCTTATAGTGTTTTCATAGAGCTTACATTTCTTAAAATATGCTTATTAGCTTGATAACAAAGCTATAAGTTTTCTGCTGTTTCTGGATGAACTAAAATTCTTGTGAAATCCTAATTTTCTGATATTTTGACTGCACTATCCTAAGAATGAAGTAGAAAAACAAACAAACAAAAAAACCCAAAAATATAAAAAACCAAACCCAAATAGACAAATGATCTTTAAAAAACAGTGTATTTGGATAAATAAGTATCTTGAAATTTTTTCTGAACCACATTTTGAAATCTTGAGGTGAATCCCAAAGCACCCACTTTGCTTTGATGATGATGATGTAAGATTTGATATTTCTTAAATTAACCTTGTGTTCACCAGCTCTGTTCAAAAAGAATGGAGCAACCTTCTTTGCAAAAATGACAGGGAATCTCAGTTCAAGGATTAAGGGCAGCAAGAGTATACAGCTGGAAGCAAACAGCCTTTCAATTCTTGTAGAAGTCCAATTGTAGCTAAGACTAACAGCTCATCAAAACGCTTGGGCATGCAGCATAACATTTCCAGAAATAAAACAAGCAATACCAATCCTTTCAAATCCTTTCACCAGAGCCTCAATTGCACTACATCTGTGAGGGCAGAATGCATTAACACCCTATTACTTAAGAATCACTCTTTTAGATACATGAATGATCAAATCTAAACTTTTTTTTGCTAATCAAAACATTTAATGTTATTTATGAAAAATGGCATACATCTCATCTTTATTTTACAGACAGAGATATTTTGTTATCCTTTTAACCCCACAGAACTCTAATTTCTGTTGTGCTCCTTGGTGAATTTTTTTGTGTGGATGACAGTACGGCTGCTGCCAAGAAAGGGTCAAAGATACTAACAATTTTAATACCACAGTTAATGTAATTTGTAGAATATGCATTGTCTGGTACCAAAATTTATATTTCCAGTTTAAAGCAAATCACTCTTTACAATTTACCATCATTTCAGGGACCAAGGCTCTCTAAAATAACAATCACTTTACAGAGTTACTTATTTGAAATAAAACATTTAGATTATCCATTTCCTTGGATAAAAGGTTCTCATTTGAGACAAACAACAGACTATCTATATATTGTCCTTTTTTTATAAGTTCATATTGAAAAACCTGATCCCTAACATTGTGTTATCAGTGAAAAGAAAGGAAATAAATGTGCTATTCTGTTGTTCTTTTTAATCTCTCCCCTCATTCTCCTAGGATGGAGGTTGTTATGGAGATCTATTTTGTAAAGCACTGAAAACATACAATATGCTTTGCTTTGGAATTTATCGATTAAGGGATGCACATCTAAGTACTCCCAGCCAGTGCACTAAACGGTAAGTCCAGTCTTCTAGAACATCTTGGCTTCAGTGTTCTTCAGTCTTCTCAGCAAGGAAGATCCCAGGGCCTGTAATAAATCTAAAAAAAGATCTTTCTCCATTTTTGGCATAACTTTGCCACAATAGCTAAGTCTTTGAGGACTTCACAATGACTCTTTAGCTGACTTTATTATAAGCTGGATATCACAGCAGAAATTTTTAGCTAATTTTATTCAAAAATTTTTTAATTAAATTTTCAGTATTTATCTTTATCTTGTTTGATTTATGACAATCCACTGTTTGCATCCAAGAAAAGTACTTCAGTTTCCTGATATCAATCAAATGTAAATTACAGGATAATAATTCAAGTTATAGTAGCTAGTCTTTTTTCTGAATGCTCAAAAAATACTCCTTTGAGCTTCCCATCAGTACTATTTGTATCTAATCATAATTTCTTCCAGTAAATGGAAATCCTTCCCTTGGTAGACCACATTTTTACTTCAGGAGCACCAAGCCTGACCCCAGTGCTTTAAATAGAGCAGACACATTTCCATCTTTGCAAACTGAAGGCCATTTAGTAGCTTGCTTGAAATGTGTCTTAATTAAGTGCCTCCTAGAAATACACACACAGACCCACACCAGAAGTATCACAAATCTACCATCTGTTACTGTTTCATGTTGTACAAAAAGCATCATTATTGGGTGAACATGGCAATAAACAACCCTGCAGCCCACCAAAGTGGTTTCTTCTGTAAGGATTTGGACAAATTGGGTAGAAAAAATGATTTGCAGTTTAGATTTACACTACATTTGCTATACTTGGGTTATTTGTTGGATTATTAAGGGAATTCTGTCCCTGAAGCAGCTAAGCAGATTTCTTATGAGCACAGAATTAATTTGAAAAGAAATTGTGAGCTTCATGTTCAATTTTTACTCATTTCTTGCTCGGGCAGAAAATGCCTATTGCCTTCCTCAAGTATGTTTTTCATGTGCATGATAAAATTTAGCAGCTGCTCTATAAGCCCTTCCTACCCTGAAAGGGCATTAGGTGAAGAATTAGGAAATGCTTGAAGTTGAGCGAGTTTTTATTTTAGACCTGGGATTTATGCTAAGCAATGTTGGACTCTTGGATGTGCAGATTTCTCTTTATAAATGGTCTTTGAGGCCATGAATGTACATGTGGAATGGATGAGCAAAATTACCTCACTACAAATTTATTGATATATTTTCCTTAACTTGTTTTATGTAGAGTCACAATCCAAACAAATAATTGTAACCCTTGCTCTATTGACAGTATTTAAATATTTAAGAACTGTATATATTAAATATGTATTTAAATAGAACTGCATATAAAATCCCTGTCTTCTTGCTTTTCAGTCATTCTTTTAAATACTGTTTCTAGTGGGTATGTTACTGGTTTTTGTCAATATGTAAATCTATTTTCTAGAGTCATTGCATTATGGTGCAGCTAGAGAAAGGAAAATGGTTTGCATGGTGTCTTCTCTGAAAAATCACTATGTGATTCTCTTGAAGCACATCCTTCTCAGACATTATGTCTTTCCAACAGAAAACATGCAAAAAGTAATAGCTGATGTAAGAAGGTCCTAAATCATAATGGGAGTTATATGAACTAAAATTAGGTATATATTGCAGGAAACAAATGCAAAAATCTGGCTACATCTCATGAGCTAGCAACTCTAGAAGAAATTTTTTGAAATAAATCTAAACCTGTTTTCTCTTTCTTTTTTTCTTTCTTCCTTTTTTTCCAGTTATGTTATCACAAACCCACCGTATGAATTTGAGCTTGTGCCGACAGACTTGATCTTCTGTTTGATGCAATTTGACCACAACGCTGGCCAGTCCCGAGCCAGTCTTTCTCATTCCTCCCATTCCTCCTATTCTTCCAGCAAGAAGAGCTCATCAGTTCACTCTATCCCATCAACAGCAAATCGACCGAACCGCACCAAGACCAGGGATTCCCGGGAAAAACAGAAGTATGTGCAGGAAGATAGACTTTGATATGTGTATCTACTCCCACTGTGTGTGAAACTTGCATTCACCACCCATTCTCCCCAGTTAATGTTTCCAGCAGTGATGTTCCCTGTTTTCCCATGGAGTTCTCCCTTTTTGTACACATATTTTGCATATGTATGACAGTGTGCATGTGATTGTCATTTTTATTTCACCACCATAAAACCCTTAAGCACAACAGCAACAAAGCAGACGGACCAAAAGTTATTTATGATGCTAGGGGAGAATAAAAAAGAATTCCAAACCTATAGGCACACCGAAAACATAAATAACTCACTGCAGTTACTCTACATATCCAAAAATAGAGAATATTTAACATGAACACTTGCTCTTGGTGTCTGAGATACACAAAGTCATTTAGTGCAGAATGTTGATGTATGTTGAGGTATGGGATTTTTTATATTCATATTTAGAGGAGCTGATACATTTATTTGAAGCTTATAAAACTATAGAAAAAAAAACAACCTGCAAAAAAAAATCCCTACAGATTTTTCACTCTCAAAGCTTATATTATATAGGGCTTACACACTTTGTATAGATTATTGCTACGCACCTGCTTTATACCAAAGCAATATCAGGGACTTTTCTGCTTGTTTAAGGATTTTCTCTAAAATACTAGCCCTTTGGAGATAGTGTGTTTTCCCTTTAACACTGATATTGTCTGGGCATGAAGTTTTAAAACTCCAATGGTTTAATTTAAGTTTAGAAAGAGTCTAATTGCATATTAAATTATTATTCTGTCTATTTATACTGCCACATGAATAGCTATATTTTCTTTCACTTTTGACATTTGGGATAAAAAGCCATATGTATCATAAATATTGGATGTAAGTCATTAAAAACTGCCTTCCTGGGACTTTTACGTCTTTAAAAGGTGAATTAGTCACCTTATGTACAGAATAAATAATGTTCAGAAAAGAGCAAGCATTTTTCTATGCTTACATATCAGATCTCGAGGGACTTTGTTCCTTTCCCCAGATGGTAGTTTAACTTTTCCAAGTTAGAGTGCTGGTATAAATCTTCCAACAAGAGTCCTAATATGTAAAGATCCTCCAGAAATCTTGCTGCATGTTCTGGTTTTTTTTTCCAACGGGTGCATGCCTGTTTGCAGGAATACAGGGAAAGACAACTGAGTGCCTTTAAGTCTCTCCCATTTGGGAAGAAAAGGTGCTGTGCCCTAGACAGCTAATGAGGAGAACAAGAGGGCTGGGTTGGAAATATTCACTGTGCTGAGGCATCATGTTTTAGGCACTTGCCTGAATTTAGTTCTTGCAGATTATCACCAATGACACATGTAGCCAAAAAAAGATTGTGTCAGGGAAATAAATAAAGTAGTGGAAAGGAACCTACTGTAGATAGCCATAGAAATGATACTTCAGGCTTGCTTTTATTTTTTTTTATTTAAATTTCAGAAGCCAACCTTTTGATATACAACTAGTTTTAGGTATATGGAGAGTTTCTTAGGGTAGGGAGGGCAGTAACACATCCTCTTCCCTGGCTACCCAGCAAGAAAGCATGCAGACACAAAATAAATATTTGGATTTGGAATGATTAGCATTGTAACTGCCAACTCAGACAAGGTGCTTTTATGGTTAGTATTGTTTTCTACCTTCCCCTTCCCCGAGCATGATAATTTTGAAGATTTGCTTGCTGTGTGAATTGACAATGAAGCCAAGCACTTTTACTGACAAAACCTGGAACCATGTAAGTGGGCTACAGAGAATACCACTGTGCAGTGCTAACCATAATGATTGGAATACAGTATATATGTGTGTGTGTGCATTCAAATGCAGCTGTAAGTCCAATCAGTGAAACACGTTGCAAATTATGGATGCTCCCCTACAAATGAGGCTATTACAGTTGCTCTTCATCATAAAGAAAAATTCATGTGTTTCTTTTTGCAAAGAAAGTTATCATGTTTTGCCCTGAGAATATTTATTACTTCAAGGATGTGCCAGTTAAAGTGCTCAACCAGAAATATGACAGTTTAAAAGCATTGTAAAACTTACATAGCTTACTTCTTTTTCTAAAGTGCAACAAGGATGAATAGAATGGGCCAAGGTATGAAAATTAATGGTTCTGCATGACCTAGCAACTGCTGTGGGTTTCCTTCTATAACTTTGTCCTTGTGAAAACTTGTGAAATTAAAAAAAAAATAGTTACAAACTTTATTCAGTTATTGGTTTGTTTGTTTGGTTGATTGTTTTGTTGGTTTTCCTTTGCCTTTTTTTCCCTCCAAACCAAAAGTAAAACTGGCTGCTGCTGCTGCTGCTGTTGCTCAACCCTGTTTTATTTTTTATCCTCTCATCTGCTTGCCTTTCTAATTGCACGTGTCCTTTTGTAAACACCTAGGTTCCTGCTCAATGAAGATGCCTATCCTGGTGCAGACATCAATTTCCCATTCCTCATTCCAATTTCTTTCCTCTCTTCCCCTCCCTACTCTCCTATCCCTTGTGTATGTACATGAGCATCTTTTTATGTTGGCAATATTGACTGAAGATAGTCAAGAGCAGTTATGCATTTTGGAAGAATGTTAATGGCTTTGACACCAAAATGCTTTTCCATTAATGTTTTATCTGTTTTCCATTTAGCAGAGAAAGGAAGGGTGTTAATATGAAGCCACTTGTCACATCATACAAAATGATTTAAAAAAAAAATAGTATTTGTGTAACTGTGCAGCTCAAATAGAAAAAATATAAACACTGTACATTAGAGAAGCAACTTGTCTACTTTATGAGCAGCAGAAGAGGAATATCTAATATGGATGCAAATCTGAATTCTTCAAAATATATTGAAGTCCAGTTCACCTCTGTCCTCTGTCCTAGAGTTAGAATTCTAAAAGTTTTCCCTTTCAGCTATATCATGTGCAATTTCCACTGCTGACTATAGTCAGATTGATCAAATAGTTTATTACAGTGATAAAGATTTTCTGATACAGTTCTACTAATGCAACTGGGAGGTTGGTTTTTACAAGCAGAGAAATGCTTAAATCAATGTTGGGTTTTATATTGAAAAGTAAGAGGAAATCTCCTGTCCTATTCCAAGTCAAACATTCTCAGTAGAATGGTTCGTTTCTGAAAGCTGGAAAGTATCACCAATGTCAAGAGAAGACTTTTTAGAGTCCTGCCATTTATATCAGTCCCAGCACAGTTTCAACATTGGAAACTAGGTTCTTAGTGAGCTTAAGTGTTGACACAAAACCGTATCTAGCAAACCTGCAGGTTCTAGGCATGGGTTCCCACTGACATAATCAGAGAGTCAGGCATTTTCCAGTGAAATTCCATTGTCAAAAGTAAGAATTTTGCTAGTTTAAAAAATAGAAAATCACTAAGAGCAAGTGCAGAACAGCGTTTTTGTCACAAAACTTTAGTTGTCTTGGAGCAAAATAAAGACTTTCACAGAAAGTAAGAATAGTTCCTTGTCTCTCTCCCTGCAAATTACTTACTGCCTGCTACACGTAAAATACTCATCTGCCAAACAAAGAGTTGCTGAGCAGGTGGGTGGAGAAACTTTCCCTTTTTTCTCATGCAGGAACAAATTCCACGGGGGAATTTTCAGCTTAGTTATAAAAAAGCTGGCTGCATGGAGGGAGGAGACACACAAACACATACACATAGACTAATTTGAAACTGCAAGTGTCACAAAAGAGAAAAAAATATTGTTTTAAACAATGGTAAGGTAACCTGAGATTATGGTGAGAATACAAATTTAGTAAAATCTTTGTGTTCTCTGGTACTTTACTTTGTGTTAGTTAGTACTTTCTTTACTTCTGCTCAGAAGAGAGGATGTTTCACAGTGACGTTTGTTCTGAGTTGTTACTTAGTCCAGAATTAGTGACAGAAATTTTAAAACACCACACTGTTGGAGATAATTGCTGGTGTCTCATACAAGTCAAAGAAATCTGCATTTTGATCATTTTACTTTAATTATTTATATCCTTTTTTATGCTGCAGGGAAGAGTCTTACACAAAAATGTTAATTTTTATTTATTTGTAATAAGAGCATGAAGCCTTTAGAACCTTTGTGGATGCACTGGGATGCTGATAGTCCATTAAAACATGAGTGTTTGTGAGGAAAGTAAATGTTTACTGCTTTCTGAGACATGCAGTTACTTAGCTGTTCCAACATCTCTCAGGTGATGCTGTCAAAAACAAACCTGCCAAATAGTGTAGGGAGATCAGGGACTCTCTTCAATAGCTCTTAAAAAAATGAAAAACTATGCCTATTATCTCTATAATGTAGAAACACATATGGTAAGCATCAATATGCATATTCCAAAAGGGAGAAGAATAGGAACGTGACAGAGTCCTAAAAAGAGCTTGGTGGATATAACAATATCGAAAGACTTAAAAAAGGGATTTTCTGAACTGCTTTAGAGTCAGTAGTTTATTTAAGATGAGTAAAAATCTGTGCTAAAACTCCAGAAGACATATCACAGTCAGACTATGAGCGTAGCATAAAAGAATGAAAAGTGTAAGACATTCAAGAAGGACATTTAGTAACTTGGAGCAGAATATCTTAGCGGTCAAGAGTGTTAAGCTTACATTTCAAAGGTAAGTATAGAGGTTGATGAACTTTCACAGGAAATTCATTGTTATGTGGTCAAAGACAATTTTAACAGCAGAAAGGAACAGGAAAGGTATAAAGCTGGGTCCAACCGTTTCATGCTGGAGATGCTAGTGCTTAGATCAAAGTTTCAGCACTGGCAAAAAGAAATCTAAACAGCAGAAGAAATTAAAATCTACCGGTTTCTGCAATTGTTATTAATGTTCTGTATTTATTACTTGCCAGCTAAATGCAAAAAGAGATGCAATGGTGTCTTTTTAAAGATCAGCTCCCCATATATGTAAGTTTTATTGTAAAGATTAACATATAAATAATTAGCTTGTTTTGAAAATTTTAGGGAAAGCAGGTTGTTTGGAAGTGCTTTACACTGGCTGCTGAGAAACACAATGCAGTTATGATCCTTAGCACTCAAGCAGTTCTCCCCTTTCTTGCTACGACGTCGAATTAACTTGCACCAAGTTCTGTTTGTAAGGAAAGTTTGTGCACCATGTGTTAGAAAAGCACTGTTTTGTGCAGTGCTTAACTTGTCTCAAAATCATTTTAAACACAAACCATTAGAAAACTGTTAGTTAGAAATTGTTTATGTGATCTTGCAAGGCTTTTAAAACATGATAACCATCACACTTTACACCTCTCTGAAAGGTTAGTTTAATCGTAGATCACATAAAATTGGTTTCCACAAATGCATAATGGTTCATGTGTCACACTTGAACTAAATGGTTTTTTAAATGGAGCTGAAATTATTTTGATGTGTACACATTCCCAGATTTTTTTTTTCCGACAACCTTTCTTAAACTGGCCCCCATCAGGAATCATTCCCTTAAAGTCTCATTAATAATTCAGATGTTCTGATTACTTTAAAAGATCTATGGAATTGAGGCTTCTTTTTTTTTTAACTGCTTGACAAAAAGATAAATGAATGTAGAAAGAAGCGGTAGGAGTCTGGCAAGCTGTAGATCATCTCTGAACAGATTGTAACTTTATCATTCTGTCAGGAAGAATAATTTAAAGCACTTAATCAGTTAGCTTCAGTGTGCAGGATGTAACATTATGAATTCCTATCGTCCAATCTGTTCAAATCAAAGAGAACTTAATTATAATAGGTAAAAAAGAGAGGGAGATGGGAGATTGAAGATCGTTCAGACTCAGGCAACTTTAAGGGGATAGGGAATTATTCAACCTGGTCGCAAATGAGTAGGATATTTTTAAAGAGAAGTAAAAAGCATTTTAGAAAATTACAATATTGCTGTTTGCTTTGAGTAATAAGCCACTAATAGGTAATATAATTCCTTTTTTTTCAATTTAATTTTTTTTAAAAAGTGTAAGAACAGGTAACAAATAGATCAGGAAAAAAAAAGCTGGATTAAATGCTTATGAGTTTGGAGTTTGTTGTTGGGGGATGGGGGTGCTGCATGTATATTCTTGAAATCCATATCAAGTGTAAGTGTTTAAATGGGATATTCACAAAAGGGACTGAGAAGTCCAGTAATTCTGGAAATTAAGCTACCTCTTGAGAGGCTCTAACTCCAAAGCTGGTTGCTTATTTTTGTGCAGTTATGCCCAAGTATTTGTCCTTTATTCTTCCCAGTCTTTCAGTTTCTTTTCTCTCCTTTACCTCCTGAGCTTTTGTGCTTGATCCTTGAGTTTCCAAGGTGGATTTTGCTTTGCTTATTTTAATCATTTATTTATTAAAAAATGAATATTTCTTCCACTCCTGTCCTGATTCCAGATACTGCAGCATTTCAGTGGTTTGCAAAAGTAGCAATCTGTATTACGTAAGCGAGACACTAAAGCTTCTGCAGCATTTTGGGTTCCCCATTGGAATGAGGAATAGCGCATACATGTAAGAGCAGCAGCTCTGACATGGCACACTTGCATGTAATAATGAAAATGCCCAGAACCATATGTCCACTGCTCTGCCCTCCCACCTCCGGAATTTGGGGAAGGAGGACAAGAATGGAGACCCCTGTTCACAAATGCTTGTCAAAGCACAAGCATGCCTAATGGCCATAAGCCACTCTTAAGACCAGTAGTTTCTAAGTCTCTGAATAGAGCTATCTCATAAAGTTGTACACCTGTAATTGAGAAATTACAAAAGAAATTGCTCTCTAAAGGGTTTAATAAAATTATTTTTATTTTTTCCTTTTGTGAATTTTAAAAAGTTTTTGTCCACACCCACATATGAACAGTGCAATATAATGGTTACAATGATAAACAGCTAGGGAATGGTTGCAATGCTGCAGCCTCTCAGCATCCTCACTCCCTCCCACATTGCTCCCATCCCACCTTAAAGCGTACCATAAAATTCCTCCTATGTTCATGGAAACAGACACTGCCCAAAGATACAAAAGAAACAGCTTCCTCTAATCTTTTTAAGTCCTCGCTTCCTTTGCCTTGCTGTCACCTATGACGACCAATCCATTCATGATTAGCTGGAGCCCCTACTACAGTCACCTGCTGCACCCGATGTATTCCATGCGCCACCTTAAACTGTAGAGTTCAACAGTGCCCAAGCACCTATGTTTTGAAGTAACAATATAAATCCCACCCTGTGTAGGAAGGCTGCCATCTGGCAGAATGAATACAAGTCCTGTTTGTTCTAGCACCAACTGCAAAAAGCTCTTTTCATTCCCCTGCATGATTTCTGAGACAGCAGTAGCGACCATCCGGAGGTTGAAATGGTTCAGAGAAGTGTCTGTCTCTTTAGGTACTTCTCTGTGTATAGACTCACATGCTCTTTTCTCCATTACCTTTATCCCAGCTGCTCTCCCTGGCTTCTCAGTATCATTTTTTCAATAAATGAGTCAGAGAGTGTTCACCTAAGCATGGGATAAAAAAAGATCCAACAAGAAAACTAGAGTATTGGTAGTTTTCTTTAGTTTCTATTATTAAATCTGCAAACATCATCTTCCTTTCGTGAACAGTATTTTCAGAGGTATTAATCTCATGCTGTACTGCTAGTAATTAATCAAAGAAATCACCTTCTATTGATCTATTTTCTCTGTAAACTTTACTGACTGCTCCCTCCCCTTTTATTTTAATGTTTATGTGTATATGTAGTTCACTAATTAAAACTTTCATTTTCCCTCCTTATTCTGTCTCTACCTGTTTCGCTCCTTAGCAGAAAAGAAATGGTTTACAGATGAGCCGGATAATGCCTATCCCAGAAACATTCAAATCAAGCCCATGAGCACTCACATGGCCAATCAGATCAATCAATATAAATCAACAAGCAGCTTGATACCACCAATCCGAGAAGTTGAAGATGAATGTTGACTCCTTCGAGGCCAGAACTATTTTTTTAAAGCCTGACAAACTTCATGAATGGTGATGTGACATTTATTCCTCTTACATGCTGAACCACTGATGGAGAAGTTAAGAAGGGCAAGCTTAATGGGAAACTGAAGTAGACAGATCTTTGTTTGTCTGCCTTTAATATTGCTTCCACGTATTTTGGAAACTATTTCATTTATAAATGAACATAATCAAAGCTAGTCATGTATAGCCTCTAGCGTTTTAAATTATTTTTATTTATTAGAAAAAAATATATTTTTTTCTTTTTTTTCATTGTCAAGTATTTTCCCTTAAAAAACCCTGCATGTGTGGCCAGACTCCTAAGAATTAAAAAAAAAAAAAAAAACAAGCAAGAAACCCCCAGTCTTTGGCTTAAAGGAGAATGATGGTCACAGTTATAAGGATGTGTAATTAGGGAAGACAAATGATATATTTACAAAAAGGGAAAAAAAAGGTCCAATTTGTATTTTAGTAAATCAAAAAAAAAAACCAAAAAAAAACCAAAAAAAAGAAAAACCCACCCTGCAACAATTCACAAAAATGTTTCTTTACTGGAAGATGTGTATTTTGTTCAGCATCAACACCAGCTCTTAATAAACTGAACTTATTTATTTTCAAAGTTGAAAGTCATATTTTTGTACATGTAACATTCTTTTGAAATGTCCTTTGTTTTATTAACATACATAGATCATCTTAATTGCCAGTTATGTGAGGGTCCAATAACCCCCCACACACTGCGCCCTGCCCTGTCTCACGTGCACACACACACACAGAGGAACCCAGCATCCTCAGTAACTCTCTGTAACACTGGCATAGGGAATGTCCCTGCCCTGAACCAAGGGCCCTGTAGATAAGGTGCACTTGCTATAAATGGCAAATCTGGCAATTTTGCTTCACTTCCCATTAGCCATCAGCAGTTGCTAATTTCAGGAAGGCAGGTTTGGCAATTCTTCTTTTGCCATGTATTGCGGTGCTTTCATCCAGACTACATAAAATAGCGCATGGAAGCGTAAGTTATAAACTGTCTCATCTACCATATTTTGTTACTTCTTTACTTCAAAAGTGCTGATGGCCTTTCATTGGTCTGATTTGGTTCAAATGCTTCCTGATACATATAGAGATTTAGCTCCAGCTCCTTGCACTTTGGTGATAGCTCATACCTTACTAAAGGACACACTGAATCTCCTTTTGGGGAATTCAGATCAGGATAAAAACTGGTTTAGCCTCAGCTCTATAATCGTGCAACATGCTGTCCTCAGTTAATTCTTGCACCAAGCAACATCTTACTTTAGCAGTTGATTTTTTTGGTTTTGTCTTGGTTTTATCCCTCTAATTTATTTTCACTTTGCTGGGACACCACACATAAAAGTACAGTAATAACCAAATCAAAATAATAAAAATAATGAATGTATTTATTATGATAACATGCAAAAGGCCTTTGATGGGTGCCTTTTGTGTCAGCAGTTTCACAAAGTTGCCAACAAGCTTTATAGCCATCAGACAAAAATGTGATGTTTCATATCTGTGCTGCAGTACCTATCCACCCAAGCATTTATGTTCTAAATGATTTAGTAACTCTCTCTATCTCAAAGAAGCAACATCTGACACAATTGTATGAAGAAAAACAAAAAGAAAAGGCTGTGCTGATAAGGAAACAAAAACCAAAAACCCAAAACAGAGTCATCAGGAAAGGCAGATTTTCATTGTGCAAGTTAACTTTAGGCTTTGTAATTTTGCAGAATTGTTAAACACCACAATAAAACATACTGTGGTATTTTTATCAGTAGAGAAATATCAGTGAATCAAACAAATACAAAGCAGATGATGAATTTATTGTGAAAACAATGATGTCCACTATATAATCCAACATTTAAGCCAATCTATTCAGCTTTAATGTTTGTCCACTGGCTGCAGTACAAGTATAACCATACTAACACCTAATAGGCTTTATTCTGGAGTGACTTCTTGGACTGTGACTATTTTGTTGTTACATTTGTAGAATAGCTATTTAAAGACAATAACAAGAATTGTTAATACAGTATCTGTAAAATTGGATTGTTTAAAATATTTCACTCTCCTACAAAGTAAAAAAACAGTTCAAGCAGTTTTTCATAGTTATTTAGACCATGTTTAACACATTTCACAGTCCCCAAAAGAGAAGATAATTCCAGTGAGTTCTTCCGATCTATGCTGCGTCAGCTAGTGACACATTATAATTTACATCCAGTTTCTGCGTTGGGTCACGTTAAGCCTTTTCTTTGAAGTCAGTGCTCCTTTTTCATTTATGAACTCCATATTATAACCAGAATGGAAAAGCTGGTTCTGAGTACAGGAGAATTTTAGAAATTTGTGCTCAACCTCACCAAGTACATGTGAATTCTTTTTTTTTTCTTAGAAGACTGGTATTTAATGTAGAGGCATAGAATATTATATCTTATACTTTATCATACACAGTGCCATTTCTGAGTGTCTTTCCTTCAGAAGTGAGCATTCCCTGAATAAAACATACTAGTGAAAGAAATACGACACTCCTGCATAGCTAAAGGGGGTGTGTGTGTGTGTTTCTCTGTCCAGTTTAACTGTCACACCCAAAAATACCACGCTACCAACTGTATATAAATAAAGGACAAGATCTGAACACACTCACGCACTCTCCTGGCACAGACAGTTCCATATGTAGTGATAGATAGAACACCACCTGTAGAGAGCAAACAAGACACAGAGAAACAGGTAGAGTTATGACTTTACATTTCCCATTTACAGAAAAGCTAAAAACAATAGTCTTTTCTTACTCCTATGTTTGATGATCAAAGATGTAGGATTAACTTCTGACAATTAGATGGAAGAACATGTAGAAAACCTGTTGGGGATCTTTGATATTCAGCCATTCAAAACTACAATAAGGCCAGCACCAATATGTGGATATATGAAGTTACATTAAAGCTGGGAAAAGGCTGGGAAAGGGGCCTAAGTGACAACTGACAGACCACATGATGACTGATGTAGAAATAAGTTCTTGATCTTTATTAATAATTCTTACTCCTTTCTGAAAAGGCAAAAAGAAAAGGGCAGGGGGGAGGAATTTCAGCTTTTTCAATAATTGCATGCACTATTGATACAGGCTATACAATTGTTTTTTGGTAACTCATGTATTGGATAGATAGTGTGTCCCTGTGTGTGTGTGTGTTTGCATATATGCATGTCCACACATACACATATATGTAGACATACACACATATATATATGGGGGTATATATGTATTTGACTGAGTCATCGTAAGGGGTTCGACATCATTTTTATTGTCCATGCATTGGGGTGAAGAAAGACACAAAAAGAAGAAAATATGGGGCTAATAGAGTAGCACATGGAGGAGTTGTATCTGCTGTTTCCTCCTGGTTTGACCAAAAAGCAGCCATTCCTGTTAGCTTTATGAGGGATGCACTGTAAGTACACTGCAGGCACACACACCCCCTCCACTGCTGCAGCAGGCGTGTGCTCCTCGCACCCATGCACTTGCAAGCTCCCACGTTGCCAGAAAGTCTGCTGTCTCTCTCTGTTTCATGGCTGTTATTTTAATTTGTCCCCATGAAACACTAAGATGAAAGGATAAAACTGTCCTCTAATACATTTGGTGGCAAGTGCCAAGCACAGCAAAAGTTAAGCTATAAAGAAGATATTCATAGTCTAAATACAATTTTTTAAGGCCTCTATCTGATTGTCTTACTGCTGTAAGAAATGTAAACATTTCCTCGTAGTTTTTGAAAATGTACTAAAACTGTCACTTCCATGTTAACAGCTTATCTTTCAAATCAGCATCAATGGCCAAACAGTAGGAAATACATGTGACAGAAAGTACAGACCCCTTGATCTGGGCCAGGCATGGTCACTTGGATATGAAAAGACTTAATTGGCCTCAGCAAACGTGGAAAAGGGCAAATGTAGTTTGCATGCACTGCACAAGGGACACTACAAATTATTTTGGTTGTTGGGTGGTGGTGAGTATTATTGTTGGATATTTTTGGCCTCTATAAGGAAGATTTCTCATTTCTTGATCTCTTCATATAGCAGGAGAAGGAGAAAGTGCAATAGTGTGTTCTCATTCAGGGAGGACTGGTTTTGTTGGGGTGTGGGTGTGAATGTGTGTGTTTGTGTGTAAACTACATCTAACGTCTACTGCAATAACTGGGTGCATAAACTAATGCATGACAAAAAAAAGCAATAATTTACAAATGGGTTATTGTTCATGTTATCACTACTTGATCACTCAGCAGCCAATTCATAATCATGTTAGCACCTGCCCTGGTCTAGCTGACTCACATGGCTCAAGCTCAAACACTGAGCAGGTGCTTAAATTATTTTATCAAGAAGTGAATTCCTAAGGGCTCCTGGATCCCAATGTATTTGAAATGAACACAAATTGAGGTCGGGGTGTGTGTGTATGTGTGGTTGTTTTTTTTTTTACAACTGTTATCATTGTGAATTCCTTTAGCACCAAAAGAAGTGTGTATCTCACCTTTCATTTCTAGTTTTAAATGTGCTTAAACGAAATAACCAAGTGTGTGAAAGGCGATGAACAAGACAAAGTGAAAACAGAAATCCGTTCCCTGTGTTACAGTGGTTTAGTCTGGGAATATCTGTCAAAATCAATGGCAAATGCATAAAAAAATTCAGAGGAAAGGAGAGCTCTCTATATTATTTCTGTTGCTTTCCATTCTGTGCCATCTGAACCACCAAAATCCCCAACATACAAACAATCACCTTTTTAATTTAGTTTTTTTTTTTTAATTCTAAAGATCCTTGAACAATCACAGCCTTAAGGGAAAGTTTTTTTAAAAACTCATTATATATGCACACCAAGTATTCTAATATTCCATTAGTAGGCCTAATATTTGTAGTACTTTTATCCTGAGCAATAGTAGTGGGTGTGGGTTACAGCCCCCATCTGAAATAATGAAAGGAATGGAGTAGCTGTTCCACTGTGGTCGCTGCCTAGGAAGGTACATAGGCCTATAGTACTGATAAGTCTGTCCCAGCGTTTATCAAAGCTATATTTATACAAGTAATGTATCTTCTTCTGCACAGATTTTCCCTGCTATAGAACATGCAGCTACATTGAAACTGTATAGTCTCTGTGCAGTAGTCTATATAACCAAGTAATTCACTGAAGTGAATAGCTAGGACTGCTGGTCTAATTTATCTGTTCTATACAATGGTGTGTTACTGTTAACTGTCAAAATGAGAAGGGGTAAGGAAAATGAAGAAAATATAAAATATAAGGTGTTTCTTTTATTATTTTGGGTCTAATTTAGAACAATAAGTAAGAAGCTAAACACAGTAATGCTGCATCTAACTAGAACCTTAATGAGATTGAAAGAGGGCTTCTTACCGCTTCAGTCAATGTATCTTAGAGGAGATCTCTATAACTTAAAAGAAAAAAAAACACAAAAAAACAACCCAGAACACAGCATATAGGCAGTTGAATACCTGTAATAGAAAACATAGATTTTTCCAGAAACAAAAAATGTTTTGTTGACTCGACAATAACTAACAGGAGCCACATTAGAGTGCAAGCAGAAGTTATCTCAAACAGTTAAGAAATGCTGCTTCTGCCATGGTATAGCTTGGAACACATGAGCTTAGCCAATGCAAATAACCTAACTTCTGGAAAAAAAAAAAATTGATATAACTCTAACTTTCACATTTCTGTAGAGTTCAAGACTGATGAAGTAATTTTCTTCCTTCAGGAAAACACACACACGTAAACACATATATACAATATATTTTGATTGTTTCATATGTCTAGTTATAATTTGAGAGTGACGATGCAAGGAGGTACATTGAGAACCAGCTACCATTTTAAGGTAAAAGTTCATCAAGAAAAAGGAGTATGACTTCATCATTTTACTTTTACCATTATGGGTTGGTGAGAGAGAACAAATGCTGGTGCTCAGAAATGATCTACCTGACTTTGTCATATGTAATATCCAGTGATAAAAATATTGTCCTGTAAAAAGGGTTTGTACATAACTTGTACATGGTTTCATTTTGTATTTTTCTCAGATTAAAATTTATGTATTTGTGTTCTAAAAGAAGGAGAGATTTCTGTGTTTTCTTTTTTCTTCTAGAAAAGTTTGTAGTATGTATCATCAAGTCATGAATAATACTTAATTCACGAAACCAATGCTATTAATACTTTGACATAAGACTAACCCAGAGCCTTTCTCTCTTGCTTAAGCTCCAGAATCAGCCTCTTGGTAATGATAAGTTATATCAGGTGCTGTGCAGGATGCTGTGAGGGAATAATTCTGCAGTAGCAACAAATGTCACCCTCATACCAGCTATGTAGTCAAATACAGATATAGTCTGGTTTGATTTAGCTACTTTCCGTTGATTATGATGGATTGATAATTTTGCTAAGCTGTCCAAAAATTTTCTCCTTTCTCATGATGAGAATTTAAAAATTATTTGCAAGTTTTGGACTATGCTTCAATTGCAGCACAGGAATTATGTATTGTCCTACATGCAACTGTATGTTTTTAAGCTTAAGAAAAACCAAGTCTCCTTTTGGAGTCTGTAACATTCTGGCATTCTGCTATTAAATGACCTCGTTATTTAAAGTTGACATCATTAATCTTCTGTGCAGCAGTATCACCACAGTGATTTGTAATCAACCACAGTATGATGAACTTTGGTTCTGAATAATGGAGAGGAAAGAAGAGGAGCAGAGCTCTGCAAGAGCCTCGGTTAAGCATCTGAAAAACCAAAAGTACAAATAGTCAATTGGTCCTAACACAGAGAACCTGGTATAAAATGGCTACACTGGTGTTTGTAAGCAAATAAGAGTGTTTTGGGGAGGGAGGGTGGTTGGAGGTAGAAGAATCAATCCATGATAGTATTTGTGCAGGACTATGGAGAACTGTACAAGAACTGGTTCAGCAGCAATGTCAGTAAAGCAAACTGGTCCAACCCTCACTAAATTCACTTGTCCAAACCATTCTTAGACTCTTTCATGGAGGGAGAGTTTATGTGCTATAAAAACTCTGATATCTGTCTGAACATTTCAATGGAAGGACTACACTATGTTAGTAAATCTGTATATATATATGTATATATGTGTACATTTGGATGTGAATATTTATATCTACACATATATGTCACTACCTCCTAGTTTTTTTAGGCTCTTGACTGATGGATGGTGAAGCTTGCTGTCAAAAACACTTAAATCAAACCTGGCCATAGAATAACTAAGGTATGAAACTTTTGTTATGTATCTACAGCCCTGTTACTCAACAGTACAAAGATTAGATTGAGCAGAACCCCATGCAGTTCCCCCGAAAATTATGTAATAAATCTAGTAAGCAAGCAATTGCAAGTGAATGAACAGGCTGCTCACACCTTTTCTGGACTGTGAGGCAGTCTTACTACTTGTTCACAATACTTTAATTATATTATAATAATTAAATTTTGATATTTTTTTAATTTATTTTTATTGAAAATGTATGGTTCAAGCTAGAGAGGTGATTTCACAAACATAGCTTTGTGCATCAAAGGAGTACCACTGAGGGACAACGGAACTATGAAACAAACAGCCCAAAGGCAAGGTCAAATATTTGCCATAATCTTCTATAGCATTACAAAAACACCTGAAAACAAACAAACAAAACCACCAAAAAAACCCATAAAAAATAATTAGTCTCTTTTCAGTCCTCGATCACTTAGCCCACCCTTTGTCACCTGCCACCCCTAGGGAAAACATACTATTTTAAGAAATGCTGTAAATCTTCTCTCACTTCCAAGATAGAGGACATTCAGAGTTATTTCTAAGGAAAAGGCAATCAATGGTCCTAAGCATGATTTCTGACTATATGTACTTGACTGATCTCTTTAAAAAGCAATCCTCCTCCCTGCAGGCCCCAGGCCTGAAAACACATATATATTATACTTTTTCTTTCAGAACATTCATTATGGTAAAGTTTTCATCCACCTCTGGGTCTAGTTTGCCTATTTTTACTTTCTCTTTTTTTTTCCCACCAGTGAGACACCAGCATCCAGTAACCCAACACTTTCATTCTCTGTTAAAAAGATCTTACAGTCAGTGGAAGAGTGAGTTCAAAGTGTCCCAATGGAGATGCTGGAGAGAGATGAACACACCTTTTCTTTTTTTACAACTTTATTAAATTTCCACTTTCTTTTCCTTTCTGGAAGAAGAAACTCCTCTTTCCAACATCATTTTTTTTAGGGTCTCCCAGATACTTGCAAATCAAACCACATTACAAACTTGTAAAATAGTACATTGCATTCGAAACTTCTGATTGTTGAGAAACTGCAAACATATCTGGGTTTTTTTCAGTGCACTCATTCAAGTGTTATCCAGCAAATTCTTCTATTTAGACATGAGCAGCAATACCATATATAATTTGAAAAGCATTTATTGCAAAGTACAGTACAAAACAAATAAATAAATGTTAGTTTTATCATGGCCTATAGACTTTACATGTCGGGTGAATAATCCATGTGTGCAGGCTAAATTAGGTAACCTTCCACTCCAGGCCTACAGCTTGAATGTAAAGCTTTTTTAAAAGTCAATACCATAATTGTTTATGTTTGGAATTACTGGAATTAATGGTTTCTTTACTTCAAAGGTAACTTTGGTGATACCAGTTAAAGGCATGAGAGGCCATGGTTTGCACATATCTAAAATATTTTCCCACTGAGGAAGAGAATGCTTCAAGGATAACTTTTCCTTCTGATAGACTTCCTGAAGGGTGTCATAAAATTAATTTCCTATCCCCCCCAGTACACATGATCAGACATCTCTGTTCTGTCTTTTCATAATGCACAAGCGTCATTGCTTCTTCAGCAATATTTTAGTCAGATAATGCAAAAAACACACCCTTTCATCATCCTGTATATGGACATAGCTGCAATGAAGAAATGATAAAAATGTGCAAGACAGTAATAATAATAATAATAATAATGGCCAGTCTTCGCGAACGAAGATTTTGGGAAAGGTCTTTTACCTTTCCAGCCTGCGCAATGGATTTTTTTAGGTGAGACACAGCCTGCACTGAACTGAGCCCACCCTTTAATCCTAAGGTTCATCTGCCGGGGCCAAGCAAGCTTGGACATGGCAGTGAGGTCCTCAGGATGTAGGTTTGTTTAGAGTGACCTTCTCATAGATGGATGGCCTCACAGGGCTAACGAGCTCCATCTGCCCGGGGGACCAGGGAATCGAACCTGGGTCGCAGCAGTGAGAGTCCTGCATGCTAACCACTAGGCCACCAGGGGTCCTGTGCAAGACAGTAGAATTTAGGGAAACCCAGAAAATTATCAGGTTAGGTTACCAGGTAGTCTCTCACATTGATCAATTGCTTCTTGAGAAACACCATCTTAGAGACTCAAGTCTAAGCAGATTATTAAAATTATCATATTATTTTAAAAACTCTTGCACTGACTGGGAAACTTGGAAGGAGAAGAATAAGAGGTGCTTAGGTGTGTAGACAATTACATGTGACAGCTGAGCTGGAGAGGTGATTTGGAGATGGGTAGAAGTTTGAGTAGCTGGGTAACTGAGTCATTTGCATGAATGGCAAGTGTGACAAAGAAATCCCTTTCAAATTTACCAGTTGCTTCGGAATTCATCTTCCCCTTCAGTGTTGGATCAGTTTCTGCCAGGATACATTACTTTATCACTTTAGGTTCTGCAGATGCTTTTTCATACTTGGACTCTGTCCAAAGAACTAACAGGGAAGATCATAGCACCAAGCAATGAAACTCCTTACAGACGTTTGATTCAATTTTTTATAGCTGGATTTTAAGAAATAGTTCTTTTAATGTGTACTTAAGTGTCTGCTGGGTGTTTTGTGGGGAAATCAGGAGTCTGGTCTTCATAACACTGCTCTGACATGTCAAATCTCACTGAAAAGCATTGCTCTGTCCGGAATTAAACTAACTACTTTTCAGGTGCAGGAGAAGCTCCAAGCAAAGGATTATTGCCCTTTCTAGTTCACATTCTTTCTTCAAGTCAATTATTACCCTCATGCCCTTTGCTTGCAATTAAGAAATCAAAACTGTCTCTATAAACAATGGGAAAATCTATACCTGTTACAAAATACGTTTTTCATTCACTTTTGTTAGAAATACCCAAGACATGCCTGGAGATCCCTTCCAGAATGAAAAGCGTTGGTGTATGGCATGCCTAACTATAACATGCTTTTCAAATGCAAATAGTAGCAGGTACTAGCAACCAACCATGTTTGGTTTTATCCCCTATAACATGTTGCTTAGTTGTATGTGATAGTTCTAATTATTACTACTATTATTACTACTTCCTACCACTAGGACACACATCAAAAATACCGATCAGAGAAGCCCCCTACAAAACAGTATCTTCTCCACTCCCGAGGGCACAGGATACACATCTTGGAAGAAATTGATGTAAACTTGATTCCTGTCCCTTTCAAATATTTTGGTGTGCTACACAGTTACCACTGGGAAATTTATACATGGTCTGGGTTTTGATACAACCACCCCAGCCTCCTCCAAAACCAAACGGGAGTACTTGCAGTCTTGATAACAGCTGTATCTGCAGTATGATTTGCATAGTTAGTAGCTGCAAGTTATTTTCTATGGAGTCCCTTGCAGTCAATTCAGTGCTGTTGGTGGCTGCAGGATCAGCTCATCATCCTCCAGCAGTTCTCTCATTAATACACCTCTGACCCAGAGGCCTATTCTGAGTGGGACTGAGAGTCTCTAGCCAGTTAAATCACCTGTCTTTTGGCTATAAATGCTGTGAAGACATAATTATAAGGATTAGACTGAGGCCATTAATTTAGAGCAAAAATAATACTGTCTGTAAGACTTTGAAGATTTAAATCCTCCTGACTGAGTAGCAGAACCCTGGTAAAGCTCCTGTTTTTGGAAAGTGACCTATTGCTGTGTCCAAGTCTCACAGAGCATGCTTATTATTTCATAGTACCTTTAGCATGCTTAGTAAGCATGTGGACCATGCTCCTTCTAGCAAACAGCAGCTATTTAACATAAACTGCCTTTTGAAGATGATTATCAGTCTTGATTGTCTGTGCAGGAA